TCAGTATACAGCTATCCTTACTCAACGCGTCTATGTGTCCGGCAATCTCCGATACCGGGGGGAGTTTTTTTTTTTTGGCGTGTATGGGCGTACCCTATAATATATATCTGTGTTGTGTGTTTTTTTCTGTCGTGCGTCTGACNATGTGCACTGTATCCTTGAATTGTCCCCTCACTATAGCTACTGTGGATCAGTATACAGCTATCCTTACTCAACGCGTCTATGTGTCCGGCAATCTCCGATACCGGGGGGAGTTTTTTTTTTTTGGCGTGTATGGGCGTACCCTATAATATATATCTGTGTTGTGTGTTTTTTTCTGTCGTGCGTCTGACAGGGTGAGGGCGTGATTGCATCTGTCACTAGTATTAGCGGCATGTGGCGATCACGTAGTCGGACTTGTTTTTCCAGTACAGCAGTTGGTTCTCATGGGGGCAGGCTGCCGCGCGTTACTTTTGTTCATGTTCTATGTCGAACTACAGCCCAAAATCTGGGAAGGTTCCCAACTTGCTGTTTTTCGTTCAGGCAGTCGTTGCGCTGTGTTTTGTCCTCCATGTAGATTTAGGCGCTCTTACTTTCAAGCAGCTTTTCGTTCGGTTTTCTGTCCATAAGTCTGCCCTTCATGCTTTGGGACATTTTTGGTAGTTTTCCGAGGTTTGCTTTTGATCATGCTGATGAAACAGCGGATTGAGAGGGAGAGCCGCGCTCCCCGGATCGTAGTGTCTGCGGCACAAAGATTGAACAACTCGCTTTCAACCAAATGCAGTCTGACACTGAAACTTGATATTGTAACTGCCTGTGGCATCCAGAAGCACAAACATGATGGCGTGGAAAGCGTACACCGTACGGTGCACGACGGCAAAGCTATGTGGTTCACCGTAAATTATGACATCGCTCGAGCGGTCGATATATCGGCCCCACTACATGTGTTTTTCGAGAAATATGATTTTTTTTCTGCCAATATCACTAGATACAGTGCAAATACCGCGTCGTTGCTACCTCACTTTGGTAGACGTCGAAGCTTCCCATACCCAAATCTTAGCAACCACAATCACGTACGCGCCTGATGCTCCCAAATGGTAGACCCACGTATGAACCACCAGACAAGAAGCCTTCGCCCTTCGAATCAGTAGTACAACATTTGTGCTGCGTATGCACAACCTCCAAAAGGCCACCCCCCCCCTCAACAAAGTGTATCACCCGGCCAGCTTTTACATGTCACGATGCACCCCCCTCTCCCACTCGGCCTTTCGACTCGGTTGATCCTCTCAAACCCTAGGCACATGTTGTCTCTTCCCTGGCAGTTCCATGCCCATAAGCGGTACCCCCCCCACAACAAGTTAGTCCCGTAAGCGGTACCCCCCCCACAACAAGTTAGTGCCGTGTTAATGCATTCAGATCAACCTTTCAAACTTGAAGGTAAACATGAGCGACCTGGTAAAACGACGGTAAGTCCTCCATTCTTATAGACACGGTGTTAAAAGAACCCCCCCCCACCCTTCCCCCATCCCTGCATGTTGGTCACGTGCGAAAGAGTTGGTATGCTGTTGCGCCTTTTGTTTCAAAAAAACATCGAGATAATAAACACACGCAAGACAACCGTATTGGGACGACTAAAACTCGTTTAGCAAGAACTCGAGCTCCGCCCGGTTCTCTGTCCCGTCCCCCAGACGCAGCCTAATCTTTTTCTCGAGAGCCTTGATCTTGTTCTCACGCTTGATGCCCACAGCCTCCGCCTCCTTGAGCTCGACCATCCTCTTCATGTTCGCGCCTATGGTCTCGACGTGTGTGTTCGCAGCCTCTAAGGCGGCCAGGCCATTCTTCTTCGTCCTCAAGGGCTTCCTTCCGGGCTTCTTGACGTTCCTTGTCGGCCGCTGCTTTCCTCTCGTGCTCCTGCTCTCGCTTGATTGCGGCGAAGTGTTGGCGGCGGCTAAGAGCGTCGCCGTTGGGGTTGAGGCGAGACATCACCGCGGGGCTGCACACGGGGTTTTCAGAGTCCACGGTGACGTCCCCGCCCTTCCGCTTTTTTCGACGGCCGGTCCGAAGAGTCGAGGTGCTTCCACTCCGACGGGGCCTGACCGCTCCACGGGCTGTACGCCGCTGTGAGAAGCAGGAAGGGAAACACCCACCACTCAGGCACCTCCACGCCCTCGTGCTCGCCCTCATCCCCGCCCTTATCCTGCTCTCGCTCCTGCTCCCGGCGGATTTTGGCGGCGGCGGCGGCGGCCAACGACATCGGCGTACTTCCCGGTTCCTGGCGGACCTCCGTCTCAGCCAACGCCGCTTGCGCCGCCGGTCCCTGACCTGCAGGTGGACTTCCTGCTCTTTCAACGCTCTCCCCGGCGCCGGCCCCGGTAGCGGGGGAGCCGGCTGTAGAGCCGGCTGGGGAGCCGGCTGGGGAGCAGGCTGGGGAGCCGGCGGCGTCGACGCTCCCCGCCGCCCCCCGAGAGAGGAAAGCCGCAACCTCAGCGTCTGCCTTGTCCGATCTACCCTTGTCCCGCTAGTACATGTCCGACTCGAACCACATGGCGTCGTTGAGCTCGTCTAGGGAGTCCTGAGTGTTGGTCCCAGACGGCAGCTCAGACGGCGTGTTCTTGTCGTTCTTGACACAAAAAAAAAAACGCACAAGGAACAAAACGGATCGCGGTGAGCGGTAACGTAATTATATCACAGCAGTGTTTTCGACCTCGCGTAGCAACGAGTTTTCAACCTTTAGTGTTGCTGCTGTCCCGGCTGATAGATATACTTCTAGCAATGCCAAGTGGTTGTAGGATTGTGTGGTACGTGGAATGTATTTCCAGGGTGTGCAAGGTACCCCTGTTGTATACTGCGTCGCCCCCTCATGGTGGTGCGTGCACGCGTGCGTTCAGTTCATGTGAGTTCATGTGAAGGAGAAGTTTATGCAACAAACCCTACACGACTTTCCTTCTTGGCGCGAGTTCGCCGAGTTGCCGACATCCTATTCAACACACGTCTTGCGACAAGCTACCCCCAGTTCGGATCATCCTAACATCAGTACTGCTGTGGAAGCCAGGATATTCGCATCTTCTTATAATTTACACACACATAAGGGTGTCATAAACCTTTGACACACGATAATTCATCGCTCTGCTCTGGATCTTTACTCTGTGGGTTCGTTGCTCCGACAGGAGTCTCAGTCGTGGAGGATCTTTAGGGTTGGTACCGAGAGCCAGGAAGGGTCTCGGCCAACGCCTACTCGCAACTCGCAACCTTACGCTAGCCTTGACCGAGCACGCTCGGTCACCGCTTGATATTCCTCGTCAAATCTTAACAGAGGAAACTAGCCTGCCTCCGGTGGTGGGCATATACCACCTCGCCATATTGGGACCTCAGCTCACATGGAGTTGAGGGTATTCATCGCACTATGCATATGAGGGAGAAGAGAAAAGGATGAGACGCGGTGGAAACATCGTCGAGGCGAAAGGGCGAAAGTCCGGCTGCTTGAAGGTCATCGCCCACCACGCAGGAGAGCACCAGGAACGAGGCTCTTGAGAATGCGTTGTAGGTGTAGAATGGAATGTGCGGCTGATACGCCATGCAAAAGCAAACCACTAACCAGGTACTTGTAGGTTGTGCATAGCTACATAGGGTCGAAGTGGTCCTGTTGATCGCGTGAGAACCGGAATGTCGCGGAGCAGAGGCTTGTGCGGTAAAACATACGGAGAGGAGAGCAGTGTCGGCGACTAAAATGTGGAGCCGTGCTTGCGCCTCCCGCCCCCCCCCCCGCGCGTGCCACGGCAGGCAAACA